GGGGGAAGTCAGAATTTGAAAAAAAGGTCAATTTTTAGTTTTCTTAAGTTATCAATGTTTAGTTTTCTTGAAATCAGGGGCCCCGTCTGGAAAATAGTGTCAGTCTTAACTTTAGTCAAGCTTAGTTTATAGTTTTTCGCAAGCTTAATCACTTTTAGGAGACACACATCCTAGTCGAGTCATTAATTTTACTCTCATCATTGCATCCTTCATCAGCAGTGTAGGTGATTTATAGTTTTGCTAGCAACTCGCAAATCTTCCTAGTGCAAACTAGGGCAGAAAAGTTTCTTTTGTTTTGTCTGTTGTGTTGTAGTAGCAGGCTCCCACCTGGAGAACAAGAGAACTCATTCCAGAATTCATTTCAGAGTCATGTGAAGTTTCAAGTCACTAGCAGGTGCCCACCTGGAGAACGAGGGAAGTCATTTTAGAAGTCAAATCAAGTTAGAAGTAGCGGAAGCTCGCCTCAAAAATGCGAATCGACAGTCCGAGATAACCAAAAAGAAGTCTCAATCAAGAACAAAAGAAAAAAAGAGAGAAAAAAAGTGAATCCAAAGTGCAGAAGTGGAGAAAAGATGTGGACTGCTCAAGACATAATTGAAGTCACAAGCTTTGACTGTCCCATTTTGAACTGAAAAAGCTGAAGAAGATTGAACCAACACCTGCAGCTAACAAGCATCAAGATTCAGATCAGAGTCTGCATGAAGAACCAACCAAGACTCAAGATCATGATTCAGAAGACTCATAGATAAGAATCTTGTAACTCGTAGCTAATAGGCTTAGTTAGTCTTTTTAATTTTGATTTTGATGTAATAATGGGATTGCGGACCGAAACCTCGACAACACCTCAATCGGCTCTCCACCTCGGTATACTCCATCACTCTTCCTAATTCTAAACTACACGTGGCCTGATTCATTTATAGCCAAGGATATGTAGGCAGCTCAGATACCAGGGCTCGGTCACATTCTTTAGTTTTTGGTCTGTTCTCTAAATAAGGGCCGGGTCAAAAAACCTATCTCATCGTTCTTTGTCTGAAAACTTTTCACATTTTCAGTCAAAGAAGGGCAGTTGTAGGCATGTGATTTTTGATCCTCATCAAGATTTTTTATATTTTAGCGTAAATATTTAGTTTAGGTTTAGTATCGCTCTCTTTACTTTATTTTATCTAAAAAAAACTACAAAAATATTTTCCCTTATTCTAGATAGTTGATATTTTGTCTAGTTAGTTTTATTTTTGAAAAAAATACAAAAATAGTCTTGGCATTTTATTTTTCAAAAAAAAAAATAAGAAGAAAAAGTTCAGAAAATATTGTACATTTTAGTATATATTGAGTAGTATTTAAATTTCATTAATATAGTAATTATCTGTCTTCTCTAAATATTTGTATTATCTTAAATATACCAGTATCTTTATAAAGCTATTTTTAATTCATCTTTAGAATAAAAGAAAAGAAATGAAAAAAAAGAACCAAAAAGGCAAACAAAGAAAAAGGAACGAAGAAGTAGAAAAGAATAACATGAAAAGCAAAACAAAGAGAAAAATGAAAAGGAAACCAATTGGGATGTGGACCCCACCTTATCTCTCCATAACAAATTCTCACCTGCACAATAACAAATTCTCACCTGCACAAATTCTCACCAGATGCCAAAGCAAGGCCAAGAAAGAACAAAAAATATTCCTTTAGTAGGGACCACAAAGCTTCTTCCAATCTTCTTCTTCTTTATAAAATATAAATACCCACACACACTAATATAGAGAGACACACGCAAAAAAAAACGAGAAAAGGGGCTGGGGATCGAAAATAAAAAAGAGCACCACAAAGGGGGAACGAAAGAAAATAAAGAAAATGTCCTAGACTCCTCCATTTTAGAGCCTTCTTCCTCCATAAAAACACCAATTCCCACCATGAAACTCCACAAAGTTGACCTTCACTGTCCAGCCCCAAAACTCCATTGAAATCTGACTTTCTCCACCCCTGTTTCAACCCCAAAACTATCCAAACTCTAGCAAAAAAAAACGCACAAAATTCCAGCTCCAAAATTATTGCGCTGCTGCTTCTAAACAGCCACCAAACAGCCTCGAAATAGCTTCAGAAGTGCAACAAAACTTGCTGCGAAATAAGCCCAAAAACGACCCTGAAGCAGTAGCTTAGATCGCTGTTAATTCCCTCGCGAAACAATGCCAAAATATTACCAAAATTCCAGCCGAATAATCCTTAAAATACAAAATTTCAGTCGAGTTCGAGGTTGCGGACGAGGTCGTAGTTTGTTAGCTCCGTTCAAGTCCACCTGAAGTTCATGTTATCATGTATATTGGAGGATTTGTGTTCATCTATAAAAGATTGGGATCGAAGGCTTGTGATTTTGTTGTTGCAAAAATTCGGATTCACTAGAGGTTCATTCTACCTTTTCTTTACTATTTCATTCGTAATATTATGCTTTTCATTAGGTTTTCTTTGATTTTGCCGTTTCGTCTCATTAATTGTTTGAATTAGTGTTTCGTTGTTATTTGTTCTGTTTTGGTGGAAAGTTAATGTTTTGGTTTTTTCCATTTTTTTTTGATTGCTTGGATTACAGTATGGGTGTAGAAATTTCACTGTTATTGCCTTTCTATACCTATATGTTGTTCAGTGATTACATGAACTATTCCACTATTTTCTTTAAATTTTCCTTATTAAGATGTTGGTTGGTTCGTTAGCCTTGAATCATTAGGCATGGGCGTGTTCTAATGCGGAATACCTGGAAAGCTAGAAACAAACTTAAGGTTTGGACCATTTTATTTGATTATAGGTTTAATCTGAAAAAAGGCTACTGGGCCAAACATGTTGAAATTATGCTAGGCCCATTCCCTAATGACACTTTATTGAGCCATTTTAGAGTTAGCCCAATTTCATGTAATCTATAAGATAGCTCATATTTCCATAATTAATTACTACACTTTCCCCTAAATAATTTCATAAATCACGGACCGTTACAACAATTTCAAAGTTTAGGAAGAATTATGAATATGTTTAAATTTATCATCGTGATTGTGTACATGTTTGCGTGACATAATTATGATTTTTAAAATAAATCGAGGTATGCGTTCGCGCAACTTCAACCAAATTTTTTTAATATTAATAAAGCGTTATTAGTTATGGACATGTACGCGTGACATGATTCTTGACACGCCAAAAGAAATGAGTACATATACGCGCGACTCGTTTCAGGTTAATTTCTTAATTAAAAGCGATAAAAAGAAAATATGCATTGGTTCTAAAATACATAATTCAAATAATTAATTAAGCCAAGTATGATTAAAGTGATTGTGTAAAAACCTCGGAACCCGAGAATGCCTAACACCTTCTCCCGGGTTAACAAAATTCCTTACCCGAATTTTTGTGTTCGCAGACAACATATAAGAGTCAACTTTCCTCGATTCGGGATTTAAGCTGGTGACTTGGGACACCATAAGTTATCCCAAGTGGAGACTCTGATTTTTAAATAATAATCCCATTTCGATTGTCACTTAAGTTGAAAAAAACTCCCTTATACCCTTTCGGGATAGAAAAAGGAGGTGTGACAGCCGGCTAGGTCTGTCGCACCCCATTTTTTCCCTCCGCGGAGAGAGGTCTGGGTTTCGACATTCATGGGGTGTGATAACTCTTTTCTTTTTGGGAATTGGATATTTGAAGAGTCGCCACCTAACGGATTATGGTGCGTTAGGGAACCTAGAGCGATTAACTCTTGGATTGGTTTGCATTACCAGAGATTAGGGTAAGGGCTCGAACTGACCTTGAGGGAAAGGTGTTAGGCACCCCTCTTGGTCCACAACTGTGGGTCACGGCCAAACTTATAGTCACGAATTAGTCCAAATAAATACTTGAAACAAATAATTACAAATAAGGCATGTGTGTATAACTCAAATAATAATAAGACATAAGTTTTTGGACAAGTTGTATAAAATAAAGTCTTAAACAAAAAGAATTTTGGGAAAGGGGGGAGTCCTAGGTTGGTTAGCCAATAGGATCATCCCACACAATGTCCGGAAAACATTCCTTAATAAGGGGTTACATGTGACATTAGCGCGTAGTCATCATATCTCATATCTACCCTTCTCATCCCCTTAATGGTCATTTAAAGCGAGTGTTTTGTAATGACCCAACTGGTAGCTTTGTCTTTTAGAACCCTGTTCCCTAAATAAAACTTTCCGCACTTGCTTTAGCTAATTTACGACTTGCGAGGATGGTTGGTTCGGGATTTGGAAGAGTTTGGAGTTAAATATGCCCATTTGATTCCTTAGGATTTTCTTAAAAAGTGCTAAGTTTGATTTTGGTCAATATTTTGAGCAAACGGACCTGGATTCGTGATTTGACGGTCCGGGAGGGCCGGAGGAAAATATGGGACCTGGGCGTATGCCCGGAATCGAATTTCGAGGTCCCTAGCCCGAGTATTGAATTTTTTATTAGAAATTGTTACACTGAAATTCTAAGTATTTAAAGAAACTAATTAATGATTGATTTCATGGGTATATGGCTCATATGTTGATTCCGAAGCCTGGTACAGGTCCAAAATATCATTTAAGACTTATCCGCAAAATTTGATGTCAATCCGAGTAGTTTTAGGGCATTTTGGCTCGTTAGTGGAAAATTAAGAACTTGAAGTTCATAAGTTTGATTCATTTGGTTTTAGGGGGTGATTCTTAGATTTAGCATTGTTTCGGGCGTTCCGAAGGTTCGAGTAGGTCCGTCTCGTGATTTTAGACTTGTCGGTATGTTCGGGCGGGGCCCGGGAGCCCCGAGCGTCAATCGGACGAGGCTCGAGTGAAGTTGAAATTTTTGAGAAGTGCTGAAGCTTCTGCTTCTATCATAACCGCACCTACGGTTGGTGGACCGGAGATGCGGTCCATCTATCGCAGATGCGGCCCAGGGAAGTCCAGGCCAAACCGCAGAAGCGGCTCCACTGACGCGGCCTCAAGACCACAAAAGCGGTCCTAGCCCATTTCGCAGATGCGGTACTTTCTTGCAGATGCGGTCCCCTGACCGCAGAAGCAGAAATCACAGAAGCAGTGAGCTTCATTTAATACGGGTTCTAAGTCATTTTTGACACTTTTCACTCCTTCATTGGCAATTTTGGGGGCTTTTGTAAGAGGGCTTCCACTTGGCATCTTGAGGTAAGCTTACCCCACCTATTCTTAGTTTAACATATGTGTTTTAGATAGATTAAACACTAGGATTAAGGTAAAATTATGGGGTTAGAGCTAGACCTAGGGTTTAAATAAAACTTATATTTTACCACAAAATTGGTTATAAAATGAATTAGAAATCATATATTATTGATCCTTAGGTTATAGAGAACAACTTCCTTTGAAAAATTTCGGAATCCGGGCATGTGGGCCCGGGGTCGGATTTTAGGAAACTCGTGTTAAGGGTTGGAAATTGCTTAAATAACTAGAATACGATCTTGTGAGCTTATATTGATTAGTTCCTACCTCATTTAACTAGTTTTGGATCGTTCGACTCCAAATTGAGGGTTTGGGCTCGTTCTTGGCATTGGAAGTATACTTTGGAGAGAGGTAAGTCTCCTTTCTAACCTTGTAAGAGGGAATTGACCCCATAGGTATAATAATTGAGTAATTTTCTACTAAATGCGGGGGCTACGTACGCACGAGGTGACGAGAGTCCGTGCGTAGCTACTATTATGTTAATTGTCCGGGTAGCCTAGGACCCACATTATGCTATATTTGTGAATGTCTCTATATTTTCTTGCTAATGTGATCAATTAGAATATGCTAGAGGTTTGGAAAGGGATATAAGTGAGCATATATACTTGTTGAACCCTTGCATGAATTTATTTGAATATAAATGCGCCTTCGTCTGTTTCCTTGATATTATTTGATATTTGTGGAACGGGCCAATCGCCTCGGTATAAATAGATGCATCTATGGTTCCTGCCATTCGACCCTCTGGCAGTGCACAGTTTATTTTCTGTTGGATCGGGTCGCCGACCTCGGCATAGTGTGCGCATGATATCTATGTGAAATCTTATCCATGACTTGACCCGCTAAATATTTGAAATGTAAATGGCTAATTGTAAAATTGTTAAGAACATGACATATTACCTTTTGCTACAAACTGTTGATTATTTGTGATTTTCATGCTTAGTGTAACACTTTATTGTATTATTTGACCTTAGTAAGTATCAAGTCGACCTCTCGTCTCTACTTCTTCGAGATTAGATGGGATACTTACGGGGTACATATTGTTTATGTACTCATACTACACTACTGTAGTTAATTGTACAGGATATGAGGCAGGTATATCTAGCTATTAGACTGGTGCGCACCCCTGATTCATAGACCGAGACTTCCACGGTGAGCTGCTCCCTTCCGGTGCCGTTCAGCATCTTGATGAGGTCTTTCATTACTTTTGTTGTCTATTCTATCCCGGATAGTAGGATAGTATTATTCTTTTGTACATTCTACTAGTTTCCCATTACTTGTGACACCATATCTTGGCACACACATTAGTAGACAGTTATTTTGGGTCGTATAATTATTATTAAATATTGCTTATCATCACCTATTTTAATTGCAAATTAAGAAATGTTGTATCCGATTTGGGTAAGTAAAATAAGAATTTACTAATACTTCTGTGTTGGCTTACCTGACAATGGTGTTGGGCGCCATCACGACCCTTAGTGGATTTTGGGTCGTGACATGTTTGGTCAGCGATCTCTATTGCGTGTTGTTACCGTCCCTTCTTAATGGTCTTGGAGGGATTTAGGACATCTACCTATAGGTGGTTCTAGACAGACCCCTAAGGTTTTAAAGGTGAAAATACTAAGGCGGCAGGCAAGAACAATTAGGACTTTAGCACATAAGATAAAAGGGAGCAATTACAGGCTCAAAGTTACCTCCTCAAACAATACACATAAACAACACGACTCAAGCACAAATAAGGGCCTTTTGTTAAACAGTATCCTAAGGCATGCTGTCTAAGTGAATATACAGAAGACATGTAGTTTATTTTATAAACTCAGAAGTGACGACCATATCAGTTGCCTACTGATTTTAAAATCCTGTTAAACCAGAACAACATTAAGTCACAGAAACAGTTTCAAAGTTGCGAGATTTTAAAATGCCCCATAGACTTGCCTATATGCGGAATACTGATGACTATGTTTTATATAGTGAAAGAAGGTAGGTTTTTAAAAAGGACTATTTAATCCCTATAGGCATGCTGTCTAATAATAGATTAAGGCAGTTTTGAAAGAACTCATTTTAGGGAAAATAAACCATTAATTAAACCAGATTCGAAGTGAGCCATTTGTTAACTAGATTAATTTATTTAAACTAAACTTAGGTGAGATCTATAGGCAGAATTTCTGGTGTTGTTCCCTATAGACATGATATCTAGTTGTTTAATACTGATTCCTGAAACTTTGCAGGCATGATGACAAATGAAAAATACATGTGAACACTTGTTATAACAGAATTTGGATTGAATTATATCCTATAGGCATGTCATCTACTTGTGAAGCTGATTTTAAGACTTATAAACATGGCTTCTATTATGGAATCACCTGAAACCTATAGGCATGATTTCTAACATGGTGAGACAAACATGACAAGATGTAAAAGTCTTATAGGTATGTTTTCTACTTGGTAAGGTAATCATATCAAAATGTAAAGTTCTATAGGCATGGTTTCTACCTGTATTACCCCAAAAACATGTAGTTACCCACCTTTTTCACTAATTACCCCAATATTCATTTACAAATTATTACAGACCATATGAATGAATTACATAAGTAGATAAGAAAATAAGAAGTTATTCTATAGGGAGCCTACAGATAGGCCAATATTTCCAAAGCCTCCAATAGCCTGAAATGCTCAAATTCCATAGACAATATCATAGTCTAGGTGCATCAAAGTTCCCTAAGGATCTCAAGAATCCCGGGCAGTGCTTACTCCTAGACTTGGTAACCAAAATTGAATAAGTGCAGTGTGGAAGGGTCATCCTCAGTATGCCAGAGTTCAGATAATTCTCAAGAGGATCCCAAGATAGTACACATACTATAGGGGGCAAAACCTATTGACTTAGGAGTAGAGTGAGAGTGCTTGACACAGTTTGAAAGGTTTCAGCAGGAAAACAGTATAAAAAGGAGGTTTGTATGAAATCCTTTGTGGAGTAAAAGTTGGAGTCATGCAGTAAACAATTTTGATAAGAGAGAGAGTTACATGATTATACAATAGTAACTCAAACATGGAGTCCAAAACCACATCAGCAATACTCACAGGACCAAAACAGAAGGAACAAACCGACACACAGGGGTGATAGGGATTGGGGATACATAGAACACATGATTGTAAACACATAACAGACAAAGGTCTTAGGAATTAGTAAAGACATGCTCAGACACAACTGATCAGACATAGTCACAGAACCAGCAATGCTTAAGGGGGTTTAGCATAGGATTACATGATTTCAGGTCACTCCAGAACCGTACAAGTTTAGAAATGCAGACTACTTCACAAGGAGACTCATACCAGAAACCAGATAGAGCAAAATCACATGGAGACAGACTACATAGAGGGGGGTAACATGTTTATATTGATCCTAAGGAAGGGGAGTACATGACATGCTAATCATGCGATCATATTAACTGCAAGTTTCACAGCAAAACCATAAGTAAAAGCAAACTAGAAACAGGAGGAACTGAAACAATAAGAGAACCATATTGTTTTTGGAACTTAAATTGAAATTAGAACATACCAGTAAAGAAGACAGTAATCAAAAATGAAGGAGCAGTTGAGCACAATAGTTAGCCTTGGCTTGCAGCCGGCTAACTCAGAATAGTAGCAAGTAGCACACAAAAGAGAGAGCAGAAAGTTTAAGTGTGAGAGAGAGAGCTTTTGAACCAAAGTGTTCGTGTGTATGTGTTAATGAGAGAGTGTGTATATATAGTAGTTCGAAAATTAGGTAAAATAAGGCAAGAATCATAGTAGCATAGTAATTATGGAACTCAGAACCAATTAGAGCAAAATCAAGACTAGTACTCCCTTAAGTTAAGGGAATCAATTCAAACGGTAAGAACAAGTAACAAATAAAGAAAGAAATCAGTGTATGACTAATAAGAAAAGATTCAAATTCAGTAAGTATAGGGTAAACAATTAGGACTAAGTTCAGAAAACTTTAATTAAAGAAATAGTCAGTAAGAATAAAGTACCACAACAGACAAGGTAGGCGAATCAGTTAATTTGAATAGAAGAGGTAGGAATTGAGGGTTTAAAGGAAGGTCTTCCAATCAAACCATAAAATAGGGAATCCAGAATCAATCAAAAAGGAAGTCATGATTTAGTATTTAGCATATAAATAAAGTAAGAATAACCAGACATAGCAAACATGCAGGTCAAACAGTATCGATAGAAAGAGCCAAGTCTGAACAATCAAGATGAACATAAGCACATAGAGGTGATATAAGTTAGGCTAAAAACTCAGTAAGAACATATTCGAAGCAAGATAGTCACAGAAACTCAAACAAGAAATGAGCAGTCATGCTAATACATAGAACCAAACGAAGAAGTCTAGAAAATTAGGTCTTTCAACATAGGTGAGTTGAAAAGGTAGTAAAATCATAGAATTAGTCGAAATATGCAAGAGATAGAAGTTTTAAACATAAAGAATCAGTTTAAACAAGGTTTTAGAAGAAGTTCCGAAAACCCTAATTTTAGAAGAAGGTGAAAACACTTTGAATTCGATGATTCTTGTAAAAGAGTTCCAAGAACAGTGTAAAACTTCAAACAAGCAAACTTAAGTCATTTTAAAATCGTACAGATCTAGGAGATGTAGGTAGAAATTAGGGTTTCAGAAGAAACCCAAATAGAAATGAAAGAACTTGTCTAGAATCCCAAGAATCGTAACAAGTACATCATGATTTTGCTCGAAATCATACTGAAGTAGCCAAGAACAGACTAGTGACGAACCCTAGGTGCAAGTCGTCATGGCCCTGGGCCTTTGAAGACCTTAGAGAAGGCAAGCATGCCACTAGAAGAGCCATTAGAGGCTTAGGAGTTGAAGGGAGATCACCCAAGAAGACCGGAGAAGAAGGTCGGCAGCTGAAAAGGCTAGAGTTAGGTTGAGTTGCTGAGAGAGGAGAGGAGAGGAGATGAGAATACATAGGCGGTGGATTTGGAAAATAAGATAGGGTTAGGGGGTCGTTTGGAATAAAAAAGGTAAGGACTAATACGGGTCGTTGATCTCTCAGATCAACTGTCATGACCCAAAATCCACTAAGGGTCGTGATGGCGCCGGACACCGCTGTCAGGCAAGACAACCAAAATACTTAATTACATTCTAGTTTTTATTTCTGAAATCATCCTTTTTTTATACGTTTAATCAATACATAGTAAATTCCACTGAATAAATAATGAAACATTCAACAACCTTTAAAAATTTCTGAATAAACCCATAGACATCCCAGAACCCGGTGTCACAAGTGCATGAGCAATTTTTAAGAAATAATGTAATACAACAACCGTCCGGAATACAATGTTGGATAGAAAATAAACACAATACTCTGAAAGAGACTTGTTGGCTGCAGGTCATCTCGGAAAATGCAGCTCACCTAAGTCTCCGATCAACCATGCTGCTACACCCACTAGGCCACAAGAGATGCATGTACCTGTGCAACAAAAATGCACAGAAGTGTAGTATGAGTACGAAAACAACGTGTACCCAATGAGTATCTTGTCTAATCTCGACGAAATAGAGACGAGAGGTCGACTTCGACACTTTCTAGTGGTCTAATAATGTTATATCAATAATATATTAAATTGTGGATTTTTTATAAACATGATTGTAATTCAGTAGGTTGAAGCAAGTAGACAATTCTTTATTTTATAGGAAATTTCCAAATTTCTCTTCATCATTTAAACATATATTCATAAGCCGGGAAGAGGCAATAACAACTTCAATAAGTTTCAAGACAAGCAATACAAGCATAAGCAAATTATGCCGAGGTCGTACGACCAGATCCAACAGAAATGTAAAGTGTGCACTGCCGAGCGTCAAACGACGCGAATCATAGATGCATCTATTACCCCGCTCGCGAATCAAACATGCGACGCGGTCAACATAAATAAACAAATACCCTGCTCACGAATCATACATGCGACACAGGTACACATAGAAATACATGCTCAAACGGCAAAATAAGAGTTTATCGGGGAACGCTTATTCAAATAAAAGCCAATTATCTTTTAGCAATTTAAGAAAAAGAAGTTTAATCCTTTTAGAAATTCATTTACCAATTCGATAAGATTTAAGAAATTCAACTGCCAACAAGATTACAGATATTCCAATTATAGCATGCTTTTGGGTCCTAAACTACTCGGACTTACACATAATAGTAGCTACGCACGGACTCTCATCACCTCGTGCTTATGTAGCCCCCACAAATAGGAGCACATAACCAATTATATCACCTATGGGGACAATTCCCTCTTACAAGGTTAGAAAGGAGACTCACCTCGCTCCGAAGATCCATAACCGGCATTCCACGCTCTTCCGAAGACTC